TAGAGTACTCTTATAGTATTAGGCATTCCATCACTAACTATTAGTGAGTATTATTTAGTTTTAACATTGTGTTACCTTATGATGAAATAAGATCATGTGGTTCTTTTCAAGAGCACCACAGTTAGAAAAAAACTTCATTTGTTTATTTATTTAGCCAACAATTTTTTAAACATTCACATTTAAGTACTTAGCAATTGTAACAATTTCTTAAAGGGTAACACTGCATGCACAAAATTAAAAACCAGTTGAAATTTTGCTAAATTTGAGCAAAAATAAGATTTAAAAGTACTCAGTATTATTACTTTAAAAAATGTTCTGCCTTTAAAAATACAATTTTATTATAAAATAAAAATATTAAACAAAATTCAAATATAATAGGGTTAAAATTAGGTAATGTAATACAGGATAAAAAGTCAATTTCATATAAAATCAACATGACAAAACTTAATTTCTATAAGTGAATAAAATTGGGATAACATTAAATTCAAATAAAATAAAAAATGAGTTTATGGTAAACTTAGCATAAATCACTCAATTGCTTATGGAGTACTCTGCCTATTGTGGATAAGTTATTATATCCTTCTGGTAACCCGACATTTCTTGTAATTGACAGGCCTGTTGGTCTAGTGGTTAATGACCCAAGGTTGAGGGTTAGATTCCCATGCAGGCCAATTATTTTTGTGATGAGCACGATCATTTGTTATGTGTGTATGTGTAATTTATCTATAATTATGTATGTATTTAAAAATATATAAGTATGTTTATCAGCAATCTGGTCACCATAGTACAGGCTGTGCCTAGTTTTCGATCAGACGGCCGTGCGAGATGGGACTTTATTAAAAAAAAATTGAGATTTGGTGAACCAAATTAATAAAGTTACCGGAGCCCAAACCCCTCCTCCTGATTCTGGGGTTAGGACCCGAAGGGTAGTAACTTGACGCTTGACGGTAGTCACTTACCGTCCGGTGACCCATCTGCTCATTTGCCCTCCTGTACCAAAAATAACTATCTTAAAGACTTGCAGATGTTTTTGTGTTCTAAATTATTTGAACTTAATTTTATAGGACTCTGACTTCAGCAACATCTTGTTCAAGTCACAGATGTGTGACCCTGACCTACTCGTGCTATAACTTACACACTACGTTCCATCCGAGTAAGTAATATAATTATAAAAAATAATAATAACCCCACACATCTCACACATGGTCGTCTAATCCCAAACTAGGCAGAGCCTGTACTATGGTAACCAGACTGCTGATAAACATACTTATATATAGTATAGAACTATAGATTAACTGACTCGGTGGTGCAGTGGTAGCATATGCGACTGCTGTGCTGAGGTCTCGGGTTTGACCCCTGGTCAGACCAAATGTTTGCATGATCTGCAAATATTTGTTTCGGAGTTTGAGTGTTTTCTATGTATTAATAAGTGTGTATGTTATGTTGTATGTATGTTTTAAGAAAAAAAAGATTGTATTAAGTATTATAACAGTCTTGCTTTCATAGTACAAAGTCTCTTTAGTTTGAAACTAAATGGCGTTGTGTGTAAGATCTCCGAAAATATTATTATTATATCTCAGACACAGAACCAATCATCGTGCTCATTACACAATAGCTATATCCCTTTCTTATTGCCTTCACTTCTTACTTACTTTTCTTTTGCTTTCATATTGACTTTTCTATTTGCCCATAAATATACCGTGGGAGAATCATACTTGGCGGGCGGGCTCAACCAGAGTGATATCACGGCTTCACAGAAAAGCGGTGTTAAGCTATCCTTTCGTTGCTTTTCACCGAGTCAATGAGGTTACCGGTGCCGAACCCGGTCCCCGTTATTTTTTAAAGACAACTCCCGCACTAGGAGTATAATCCTGTGTGGCTGGGGAATTTACAAACATACATGAAACGGACACAAAAAACACCCAGACTCAGAACAACAATTTGTGAATCAGACAAAGTATCGTCCCATATAGGTATCGAGCCCACAAAACCTTCGGCGTAGTAGAAAGCGGCGTGGCGACCGCTTAAACCACTACGCCATCCACTCAGTCGTTAGTTAAATGGCAACACACATAATTGTGTCTTCGTCATATATCCCGACGCGCCCGTCCGTCTGTTCGTTTTCCTCCTATTCTATAAAAAAAACCCATCAAACTCCTAATTCTATTTGACGGGCAATAGGTTGCCATAAATTACATAAGTGGGACTAAAATTATAGTCGCTATTGCCTACCCCTTTGGGAATAAGAGCGTGACTGTATATAGCATATGCAAATGCTGCCTAAACAAATAAAAAACTCTATATATTTATTTGTTTGGCCAATGTGAAACCTTACCGAAAACTTGTTTATCATCATATGTATCGAATATCAAGTGATTCATGTTCAGCTATAGTAATCCAATTATCATACTCATTATGGTGTACGGTCTCGTGATATTAAGAAGTGTATTAGGTTATTTGTAAATAAAACAACATTTTAATTTCACGATAGAAGATATATTTAGCTTCTGAGATTATTATTCTGCAATAAGGTAAGTGGATTGAAGTTTGCTGTACGAACGGTTTATAGTTTTAGTCGACTTTAAAAAAGAATGGAGGTTCTCAATGTGGTTAAGTATATTTTTTATGTTTAAGAACCGCTTACAAGTCTTTTTTTATTTGAGATATTATACTTCGTTTGGTCTCATTCAAATTTTGAAGAAATTGCCCGTGGAAGTTCCATTCTTCGGCAATTGCAATTATCATCTGGAAGAGCCGGCACAAATGCCCGGCTCGACCATATGATGATTGCATCCGTCTATTAATGAGTTGTAATAACTGTTATGTCATAGATCATGGATTTGAATCAGAACCACGAAAAATAATTATTGCGTAATTAATAAGATCGTTCGTTCTTTGTTTGTGTGTAATATATTTATAATGTGTACGTATATACATGTTTATCAGCAATCCAGTTACCTAACAGACTCTGCCTAATTTGGGTTTGGACGGCCATGTTTGAGGTGTTGAAAAACGTCTGAACTCGAATACTAGCTGACCCGACGGACTTCGTACCGCCTTAGAATTAATAAATTATGTGACAAATTTGGTAACATACCTACAGCAGCGCCACATGCCGGGTCCAATTGTTTTCAAACCATCCAGGAACCCGTGAAAATATACACACAAAATTTCATCCAAATCGGGCCAGCCGTTTAGGAGGCTAACTCCTCCTACCTCTTTACAGATACGCGTACAGAAGAATTATATAATGTTAAGATAATAAAGCTGAAGACTTTGTTTTTAGCACGATAATCTCTGGAAATATCAGACAGATTTAAATGATTCTTTTTGTATTGGATAGACTATTTATTGAGTAAGGATAAAGGCTAACATCATGCTACGACTCTTAGGGGCAGAGCAGTGACTATAGTGATGCGTAGTAGTAGCTTCGAGTCTTGAAGTATCTCTTACCTAATCTCTATATGGATTGTTATCTGTAAGTGTAGCTAACCGACAAAATATGGTATTATTAAAGACTAGATAACCCACGCATCTTGGTCGGCGTTTCTCAAAAGGCGTAAAATTCCCCGTTTTTTTGCAGCATTTTCATTGATGGTATCGCTGCTGCTAGTAGTCGTAGCGTCATGTTATACCTATTGTTATGCCTAAAGCCTTCCTCGATACATGGGCTTCCCAACACTAAAATATTTCTTCAATTCGAACCAGTAGTTCCTGAGATTAGTGCATTCAACTAAACAACAAATAAACTCTTTAGCGTTATAATAGTAGGATAAATTAATTAAGCGCCATCGACAATTTATCCAACTTTACCATAAAACATAGAAATCGAATAAAGCCTCCACTTGTAAATGAAGTGTAATGAAGAGAAAATAGCTAAAGGTACTTCAGTAAGTAAAACTAATATTGTCCTAATAGGATCCCTTACGCCTAATTAAACGCGTCTACGTCAAAGTCTATTGCGTGACGTCAGATTAATTACATCAGGCATTCATCACAGACGGTTATGTGTTTTGAAGATTTACTTACTCGAAATTAATTACTAAAGGTACATCGAACGCTTACACTATTGAAGCTAGCTATTAATAACTACCTATATTCTATCTCTGTGCCAATTTTGTATTTATAATAATTATAAATACAAAATTGGCACAGAGATAGAATACAAATAATCTTACAACAATTATTGTTGTAAGATTATTTAAAAATACCTGTAATATTGGGCATCGAAAATGTATCGTTCCTGATTGAAAAAAATAGTACTCTACGTTATCTATAAAATTTCAAAATCATTTAATTGTATTCGATAAAGATATTTGGCGCGTAAACGCCCTCAACATAGTTTTTTTTTATTACAAAAAGTATATTTACTGCTAATGAATGAAATTTTAAAAGTATTTTTCTTATAACATTCACAAAAGCTAAGAAGGTGATTGAGTTTTTTTATAAACGCCGATGGGAAAAGAGTGACGTGAGAATAAGTGTTTAACCACCAATACGGCCAATGATTCCTTTAAATTCGTCACTTTCTTTTTCTAAAATATATTATGAAGAATTTCATTGGGATTTTTAGCCAAAACTCTGCACTTCATCTTTGTTTTGTTTCGTACACTATGTATGAGAGAATGAATTTTCTTTACATATAGATTTTTTCGTTTTTTTTTTAATTTTAATAATTATGCTGCTATTCAAATCCAACAAATCAAAGATCACAAAAAATCGGTCCAACCGTTGTTGAGTTAAAAATGGTGCAACTAACCCGACCGTGTTTTATATATTGAGTTGTTTACGGGAATTAACGCATCAGTCACCCTGTGACCAGGGCCAGACAACCTAGTCGAACGCCAGACACTTCAAAGTTATGTACTTAATACCTATCGTGAACGCCTTAATTCCCGTAAGCATAATTATGTGTTATAGAACGCGATTCGTTTATAAAATTATAAGTCAGTATATTCTAATATTTTTGATTGCAGCTTAGTAGTTCAGTATAAGCCATCATGGCCAGTGGATCTTGGGAGGAGTTTTTTGCCGTACACCTGCCTCCTCCAGACTTCGAGGACAATCGGTCTTTACTGAAGGAGTTCTGTGAGAGACATGATCAGTATGGCAACAAAATTGTACTTGTTACTGTAAGTGAAAATGACTATAATTAAAAATTAAATATTGACGTAGTAGAAAGTGTGGACGTCGTAAAATTCGGGGTCTGTTGGTCTAGTGGTTGGTGACCCTGACTGCTAAGCCGGCGGAAGAAGTGGCGGAAGTGGGTTCGATTCCCACCCAGGACAAATAATTGTGTGAGCACGATCAATTGTTTTGTCTGGGTTAAATTTATAGGTAATTTATAAATATTTAAGTATGTTTATCAGCAGTCTGGTTACTACAGCCCAGGCTCTGCCTTGATCGAGATCAGACTATCGTGTGTGAGAAGTTATTTTTGTTAGTCTAAAATTAGACTTATTTTTTTTGATAAGTATTCAAAACCGAAGGTTCAGGTTTGTAGAGTTACTTAGTGGGCATGTAAAAATATACCTTATTTTCACAAAAATATAGTAGAGATCGTCTGGCGGGTCGAATGTCGATAGTGTTTAATGTCTTGTTTTATTCAATTGGCCACTATAACTTGAACTACCCTTGTATAGACTTGTACCAATGCAGATTAAAATATGCACTGGACCTCTATACCTTTATGTCTATACATAATTTTGATCTTAGAGCACATATTGTTGAATTTTTTTAACTTTCTGTACTTCTTTTACACATAAACAAGTAGTCTGTTATGCTTTTATATTCAGTTCAAAATTATTTGTTTTATGGATTTTTCGCGTGTCAGTATACTACAATATATTACAATAGATAGAGGTGGTGACACTCTGCATTCTTAATCCGTCACCACACGGTCAACTAAGGGACAAAACTACTCAGAAAAACAGCACTGCAGAGAGAAGGAAAACTTGACACAAACCCTATACCATCCCGTCTGGCCAGCGTGGTATAGTAGACCAAAACCTCCTTTCTAATGAGAGGCCTATGTCCAGCAGTGGACTATTAAAGGCTGTTGATGTGATGTGTGTGTGACAATAGATAGATAGAAAGAAACAAGTAATATGATACATAAAAATGTCAGACATGTAATGTACAAAGGGCGGCCTTATTCCTAAGAGCAATCTCTTCCAGGCAACCTTAGAATGGATTAAAATGTTTTGGAGAGACAGTAGTAGTTGAAGGTACAATGAGTTTTGTCAGGTTACTTACTAATATATTATAAAAGAGATAAAATTCGATGAATATTTACACATAAAGCACAAATTTATACATCCCAACAAATAAACATACATACATAACCAATTATAACAATAGTGTTCTGTGACGTTTACTTTTAAAGTTACTAGATATAAAATTACGTATTGATTGTTTGAATTGAATAACGTAAATGGCTTTATTATTATAAAAGAAAAAAACGATATTAGCTGCAAAATAGTAAATTAAAGTATTGACCTGCTGGTCAATACTTTAATTTAGATCTTTTATAAAGATTAGCTTATCGCTATAAAACAAAACAAAAAATGACCTATAAATGTAATGAAAACTCATGAAATTTAATGGTAGGTACTTTTACAAACATTGTAAAACCTATGTCCAATAATATAATAGTAATTGTTCAATTACAGTCTGGTGGTACAACAGTTCCTCTAGAACACAACACGGTCCGGTTCGTTGACAACTTCAGCGCGGGCACCCGTGGATCTTCGTCTGCCGAATACTTCTTGGAACAGGGATACGCGGTCATTTTTATGCACCGTCTGAAATCCTTGGAGCCCTTCACTAGACACTTCACCGGCCAGAAGTTACTTGATATGCTTGAAATTCAGGATCGAGGGCCTAATACTACAATCTCAGGTAAGTGCGGTACATAAGAGTATGTAGACTGGGTGGTAGAATAATGCTCTAGGCACCAGCTTGATAACAACAAGCGAAAAGGTCTCCCTAGGATTCTATCTATAACAAAAGTTTCAGTTTTAACACCGTCTGTCATTTCACGGCAGAATAAAACTTACAGGACTTCTGTCGATATTACTCGATTATTTAGTAACAAAAAAGTAGGTAATAGATTCTTATAAGAGATAGAAAAGGTTTTCGGCATCAATAATGTGCAACGTTTAGGTATAAGTAGGTACCAGGATGATTTTGCTCGTTTATTTTTTTTTTTGGTAAATTTTCTAGAAACGAAACCTACTACTACTACCTACTAAACTTCATGAAAATCGTTTGGTGACATTGCCGAAATTCAGATTATATACAAGAATTGCTCGTTTAAAGGTATTAGATCATCATCAACAGCCTTTAATAGTCCACTGCAACATAAGCCTCTCCTTAGAAATGAGGTTTTGGCCTACTATACCACGCTGGCCAGACGGGTTGGTATAGGGTTTGTCATGGGCCCCGTCGTGGTCCACCCCCTGGCGCCTCCATCGTGGTCAACTCGGTCCTCGTACCGGTTCGGGCCCAGATAAAATATCTGGGCCTGATCCTCGACGGGAGGTGGCTCTTCGACGAGCACTTCCGACAGCTTGCTCCAAAGCTGGTCGGCGCTGCGTCTGCCCTAGGGCGACTCTTGTCCAATATGGGTGGACCCAGCGTCGCGACAAGACGGCTGTACACGGGGGTTGTCCAGTCAATGGCACTGTACGGTGCACCGGTGTGGGCGGCGGCTCTGATCGCCCAGAATAGGGTACGCCTCTGGCGCCCTCAGAGGGTAATGGCGGTCAGAGCCATACGCGGTTACCGCACCGTTTCGACGGAGGTGGCATGCGCATTGGCCGGAACTCCCCCGTGGGATTTGGAGGCGGAAGTGCTCGCCGAAGTTTATCGGCGAGTGGCTGACTTCCGGGCGGAGAGCGGATTTCGCCCTCCGCCCGAGGATGTGCGCGAGTGGCGCGAAGCCGCTCGCCGAGCCACGATGGCTCGTTGGTCGTTCCGGCTGGAGACTCCACGCGCTGGCTTCGCCGCCGTGGAGGCTCTCCAGCCGGTCATCGCCGAGTGGGCAGGGCGGCAGCACGGGACCCTTTCCTTCCGGCTGACGCAGGTGCTTTCCGGGCATGGTTGCTTCGGAAAGTACCTGCACACGGTCGCTAGGAGGGAACTGAGTCCCGCCTGCCACCACTGCGACTGCAGTGAGGACTCGGCCCAGCACACGCTGGCGGTCTGCCCCGCATGGGCGGCGCAGCGCCGGGCCCTCACTGCAGTCATCGGAGTGGATCTCTCGCTACCGGCCGTAGTACGCTCCATGGCCGGCAGCGACAGTTGTTTTACCGCGGTCGCAACCTTCTGCGAGGTAGTAATCTCGCGGAAGGAGGCGGCGGAGAGGGCCCGGGAGGACGACCTCCACTCGGACCAAATCCGCCGCCGGCGAACCGGGCGGCGGAGGCCCGGCTATCACAGCCTCATGCCGCCCTGAGTGTGGCCGCGGGTGGACGGGGTGGGTTTCCCCTCCACCCGCATTAGTTGGCCAGCCGCGAGGGGGCGGCGTCCGCGTGTGCCGGACGTCGCCTAAAGAGAGGAACATCCACATTGAGACGGAGCCCGCACCAGGAGCGGGCTGGCGCTAGGAGGGGTCCGGATGTCTTAACAGCAGCTGTTCCCGGATCCCTCCTGTTACAGGCGCAGAGTGGCACACCGTGTGGTTTTAGTCGGTCCGAGTCCGACACACCACCCCGCCGCAAACCCCGGAGGGGTGACGGTCCGAGGGGATTTCCACACGTTAAAAAAAAAAAAAAAAAAAAAAAAAAAAAAACGGTTTGTGTCAAGTTTTCTTTCTCTCTACAGTGCTGTTGTTCTGCGTTGTTTTTTCCCTTAGTCGGCTCTTACGACACCCACGGGATGAATAGGGGTGGTGACACTCTGTATTCTTAATCCGTCACCACACGGACCAAGGCTAATACCTTATAATATGTACGGCATTATTCTTTTTTTTTAATAATTTTCCAGTAACTCTATGTCGATATTGTATAGCGTGTTTTCAAATAAATAGACTTGTGGAAAGAAATTGGGAAAACAAACTCACCTACGTAATACCACTACCGATGCTTAGTTTTCTTAAATGTGAAGAAGTTTATTATTTTTATTCGTTGCAGTAAAACCAGACAGCGTGGACGTGCTGGCCCCTATCCTTCTCCGATACAAAGCAGCACATGCAGCGGGGGCGATCTTACACGTGTCGTTCACATCAGTGTCCGAGTACTTCTGGCTGCTGCGCGCTGCGTGCGAGTGTCTCGCCAACGTCGGCGCCCGCGCAATGTTGTATCTCGCCGCGGCCGTGTCTGACTTCTATATACCTAAGGATAGAGTGGTAAATACCTTGATTTATTCAACTTCACAGTACAGATAAATAAGTTTTAAAGATCATGGGCTTGAATCCTGGGTATGTAAATAATAATCGCGTTACATCTATAGTCCATTTGCATAAGGAAATTGTGACGCATCAATCAAACCTCGCATCCTGACCAAGCTTTCATACGAAACCATAATTTTTCAGAACCTGGTTCGTTAGAGGGCGGTGCTTGATTATTTTCTGAACACGAATAGACCTCAGTATAAAATTATTAGTATAGGAAATAGGGGAGGAAACTATTTTCTTCCGCAATTTGTTTAACTTGGGTCATTATTTTTTTACTCCTTTTACTTTCCTATAGCAATAAACAGTAAAAGTAAATAAAACAGATAACAAAGAGAAAACAAATAACAACAACATACATTTATTCCCAAAGTTATTTGGCGCGTATTGTAGTTCACGAGCTATTTTCCATTTAAGTAATACAGAATGATTATTTTCTTACCAGCCAACACACAAGATACAGTCCGCAAGTGGAGCTCCAATCATCCAACTCCACTTGGTGCCCAAGATGCTAGCTCCGCTGGTCAACCTGTGGGTGCCTGAGGCTTACGTGGTTTCCTTCAAGTTGGAGACCGATGAAAGCTTGCTTATACCTAAGGCGAGGGCTGCCCTGGAGAAGTATAAACATAAGGTAAATACAATTTGTTTAATACCTTAATTTCTCTACGTCATTGTTGTCATGAAGAAATATATATACTAGCTAACCCGGCGAACTCTGTTCCGCCTTAAAGGCAATAAATAAGCCGATTTTCGAATTTAGTAAGTTAATTTTTTTCTTAGAAAAAATCTTCCGTCTTTGAAAATTCTTCGATGAAGCATTCCAAGTATAATAACGTGGCGTCTCCGAGTAAAGCAAAGTTCGTGCAAACTTTTTTTTTTTTTTTTTGGAATAAATAGTATCCTATGTCCGTCTCCTGGCTCTAAGCTACCTCCTCACCAATTTTCAGCCATATCGGTAAAGCCGTTCTTGAGTTATAAATAGTGTAACTAACACGACTTTCTTTTATATATATAGATTATGGATGGATAAATATATATATATATACTAATACCGGCCGCAACCTTCCGCTATCGTTCCACACGGCATAAATTTCATCCCCACCGCTTTTCAAGACACTTTTTGCTTCGCACTACCAATCTGTGGATACAACAAATCTTCAAGAAAAGAGCGTACCTACTCCTTCCTCAAAGGCCGTCAACGCGCTTGAGACTCCTGAGTTGCAGGCTTTCATGGGTGGCGGTAGTCGCTTTCCATCAGGTGACCCGTCTGCTCGTTTGCTCCCTATTCCACAAAAAACAAAAAATATATATAATTTATTATTGGTAATTCTCTCTCGTTTTACAAGTATTTAAATATTCATTATATATTTAAAGATTTTTATGCTGACAAACACCCATAAAATAAAAGTACGAAGAATCACCATCTAGAGAATTTATTTTTATACTTCGATAAGAATCTCACACACACAAACGAAATACCTGGTTAGTAGTACGAAGTGCCTGTGATTTTAAGTAGTAGTGAAATTGGAACTAATAATGCAGAATCGTTTTAAACTAATGATAATTTGCAAATATATGAGTGAAGATACGAGTTATTTACAATTCAGACACATGTAAACCAGCGGCGTGCACAGGATTATGACACTAGGTATGCGGCAGAGTAGTCGGTCCCAAAAACTTTTTCTTTAGATTTTTAGCTTAGCCACAGCCACGCGATGTATCTCTAAGTCGGAAACCATGCCAACAGAACAAGTCTTAGATGTACTACTATTCATGTACATCTTCAACGGGAACACTGACAAAACTGCGATAGATCGGCGATAGATCGCGGCGGAGGAAATTTTAATAAGTAAAATATTAAAACTACTCACCTGGTCATCTTCAATTTTCTGATATTCACATATTCAAGGTTAAGGTTACTTGAGATTACTATATCCCAATGTAAATAAACGCAAGATTTCGGCCACCTCAAATATCTTATCCAAGTGAGTGATAGTTACAGACCTTTAGACACAATTTTAATCTTTTCACTGAATGACAATTGTGAGAACTTGTTATTTTTAATTTAAATTATACACAAATTTTCCACACATACCTCACAATCAAATAACATTTTTAAAAATCAACGGAACTCAGTAATAAACTGTTAAATGTACACACTTTCAAATAAAACTATAATTAAACTGGCGGATAGAAATTAGTAAACAATGCTTATCACATGAAAAAATCAAAATGGCCCCCGCGAACAATAAACATATCTGCTAATTAAACAAATAAAACCTTACCATATTCAAAATTCATAATCCGCATACCTCATTCATTATATTTCTGACTATTGTAATTGGGTGGATTTATAGGCAACGAACACTGCCGATTATACCCGAATACTGACGACAACGATTAGCGCGGGACCCGACACCCGAAGGCCAACTGCAGTATCCTGCGGCTGTAGTCGGGCATATAAAATAAATGGGTGTGTGCGTATGCGAACTGTGCACGGACACCAAAATTACTACACACATGCGAACAAATGTCCTGCGCGAGGCGACGGCATGAGTTGCTTTGCGCTTGCTTTTCGGTAAACACCTGGCAAACAATGTTTGTGTGGTGCTATGCTATTTATAAATAGTACGCGTTTTTAAGTTATTATATTTTGTTTTTTCATTTATTTACTATTAATTAAAGTCATCTAAAACGTACCAACGTTTTATTAAAATGTCTGTGAATAGCAAGTAAAGCACTGCATTTCTGCCTACAAGGAGCGCACGCCCCTGATGTAAACGTATAATAATATACTGACCGGCAAAAGATACACATGTAATCCTGACCAGGTATTTATTTTACCGTGTGTATGTTTATTTGGTGACGGATTAAGAATACAGTGTGTCACCACCCCTATTCATCCCGTGGGTGTCGTAAGAGCCGACTAAGGGAGAATACTACGCAGAACAGGAGCACTGCAGAGAGAAGGAAAACTTGACACAAACCCTATACCAACGTCTGGCCAGCGTGGTATAGTAGGCCAAAACCTCTTTTCTAAGGAGAGGCCTATGTCCAGCAGTGGACTATTAAAGTCTGTTGTTGTGATGTGATGATGATGTATGTTTATTTAGACAAAATTGATTTTGGATTATGTAAAACGCTCACCAAATTAGTTTACCTCACTTATTTATTTCAGATGGATAGATGGATGGTTTTCGAAGAATGAACTTACTTAATACTTTTATTTTACAGATGGTAGTAGCGAACTTGCTACAGACCCGCCACCACAGGGTGATCCTGGTGTCACCTGATATTACGCAGGAGATCGTGCTCACACGAGAGGAAGTTCATGCCGGTAATGTATAACAATTAAATAGTCAATTTTTTTTTTCTCCGAGCCTTTTTCCCAAACTAAGTTGGGGTCCCCTTAAGTCTACTACGACACAGCTGAACTTCCATCAGATCTCCACAACCCAAGTACTAGGCGATATCGAAGTTCTGTAGAAAGACTGTTGTCGGTCTTTTTAGGTCTCCAACTATTCGTAACGATTGCCACAGATGTTCAAATAGCAACCGGGACCTACAGCTTAATGGGCTCTCCGAGGCACGGAGGGATCTTAATGTGTTAAGAATGGTCACCCATCCATAACCTGACCTGACTGGGATAAAAATAAAATATAATAATAATACTGTAATATGTGAGAAGTTATCATTATTAATGTGCAACTTATTTTCTGCAACTTTTGAAAATGATTTTGTGAAAGGGGACGGAAATGTGTATCAGGAATCAGAAAAAACGTGCACTATAATCAGCTAGATATTTATATGGTAAGTAGAAAGTATGGCGACTTCCACATACGCTGAAATAAAGAAACATACTACAGCGCCATCTATCGAAGACAGACTGCACTACGTTGTAACTGCTTCTCCTGTATCGCGATATTAACAATTCTTTAGCCGATTACCATATATACAACTTCCCAACATTAACCGTTGGGTCGCGGCCCGCCCGGCATGATCACTTCGCCTGGTCGGAGGATCCTCCCTTCGTGTTTGATTGACATGACACTCGTTCCTCCACAAAGGCAAACAAGCAGAGAGGTCACCTGATCGTAAGTGACTACTGCCACCCATATGGATATCTGCAACTCAAGGTTCACAAGTGCGTTGCCCTTTGACGTGTTTAGTTTGAAACTAGATGGCGTTGTGTGTCAATCGTCCGAAATATTTACCGTAAGATGTTTTATGTATATTCGTACATAAGACGGTTCCACGATCGTGATGAGTAACGCTGCGCTCCCCGGCAGGCGTGGACATCGAGTCGTCGCTGGTGAGCGAGATCGTGCGTCTGCACGCGCTGCACATGTGCGCGCGCGGCGAGCGCGTGTCGCCGCCGCGCCTCGCGCCGCGCTGATGCCGCCGCCTCTACCTCACCGACGAGTAGCACGCACCCCCTCCCTCCCCACCCGGTGTACTCGTCAGTGTTCCGCTGTGACTATCCGCATTGACGTTTTATAATCATATCGTTCTCGCTATCGACACACCGTGTGTCTACGTACTGAATCTCGTTTTTGTATCGATTTTAACTCGGCGTTCCGGCGACATCGATATATCGTACCGATACAGACTGTCTCCGATGACGTCCCTAAGTGAAAGCGTATATCTATTGTTAAACTATTCATGAAATATTGTAACAAAACTTTTTTGAATAGTTTAGTACGTTCACTCGACTAAATGGTTCATATTAGCTTTTGAGTGTTTTATCCTTTTCGGATCTATATAAAATAGAATGGAAGAAGAGAGACGAAATACTCAAAAATAATTCAGCGACCAAACATAAAATAAATAAGAAATAAATAGTAAATTTTTATATCAATATTAATGTACCTATGTAAGTGTAATTTCTAATGTTCAACCATACATTTGTGTAAACTTATATTAAGGAAAAAATATCTTGAGATCTTTCTACAAATTTGTATAATGTCAAGTTAAGTTATGTTTTTTCATCAGATATAACTTTTAACAATCATTTTCTCCTAGTTTATAAGAAAAGTTTTAAAAATCAAATTTTGAGCCAATCAATATTGACCATAATTTCAACGATCGTTATAAGAAAAGACGTATAAATGACATTATATAAATAAAATTATTATCAAGCCTCGCAATTTGGCCTGAAAACGAAAAACATTGATGTTCCATATTCAAAAAGCAATAAAGACATTTAAAAAATCTGCAAAATTAAATATTAAATCTAAAATTTGAAACAAAAAACGGTTAGTTACTTCTATAAAATGGACGTGATTTCAACTTTGATAATACAAAAATCATTTTCTCGACGTTTGTAGTTTCTGAAGCCATCGTCATTTTCTTTTGAACAAAACTTTCTTATTATAATAGTTTATATAATTGAAGTTTATTGACTCTTTTATGTATCGAAGTGTGTCGTAAATCATTTATATAATATATGAGATAGCCCTTGGCCCTAATCATTAAACAATGATAATACAAAATGTGATAGGGAAACGAACTGTTCGAGTAACTCTGACGAAGGAGGCCTTTTAAATAAAATTTTCCTTAACTTCATTACATATATCAAATATAATATTTTAATGACAGTTCAGTGCTACCAACATAATAAATTGAAATTCATTGTTTCTTTTTGAAATTAGTTTTTTTTATTCGTTACTTATTTCGTGAAAATAACGGCAGTATGTAACAGGAAGCTGTGGAAGTGTAAACGCTTTTAAATTTGACCAATGAGAGCGCGCACTGCTAATGTTGTCTGTTAGATGGTATATCAGATGTTATTACTGTCAGGCTCGCACGTTTTTTTTTATTAGCGTTGCCTTATGTTGTTTATGATTAAATTACAATTTATATTATAAATCTCTACGTGCCCCATTAGTTATTATCAAGAATAGACTTTTTAGATCAAAATATGAATTTATATGTCTTTAAGTACTGTAATTTATATCTAAGTATATCAAATATCATAGACTACATATGTATAAAACTTCCAATAGAATTTTCACCGTTTTATTATGTAATGTAATTAGAAATATATCGATATTGTAATTTTTCTTTGTGGTAACATTAGAATTGTTGACTACTTTACTATAAAATGTGTTCCTTCGATCCCGGGTCCTTTGAGCTTTGAAGGAATTTCTCGGGGCCTTTGGACCACGTTCTAGGTAACTATCGGGCTAGCTGAAGTCATGTTATCCAATTTAAGAAAAATATGCAAAAATGTACTTTGTAAGTGTGGTCATATATATAAAAATAAGGAAAATGTGTATTATTCATGTTTGTATAGCATCGATGTTATCGTTTCAAATCTATACGCTGGTGACGTCACTGTCGAATAATAAATAGTTCCAGTGAATTTTGTTAGATGGCGTTAGTATTACTTAGTTTTATCTGTGTTACAATGTTTGGTGTTTTTTATGTAAAACGTTTTGATGTAGTAGGCTAAGTAAATAACATTGATTATTATATTATAATACAGATTATATTAGATGTTAGGCAGCATTTTTAAATGTTAATATATCTTGTAGTGCTGATGTGTCTTATTTAAAGGTGTAACAATTTAATCTCGTTAAGTATTTTAAAATTTCGAATGTGGATTAAATATTTTAAAATAGGAATTATTCTGCAATTTTTTACAGAAGTACATTATAAAACAATCTTTTTTGCTACAATACTGCCATTGTCGGTATGTCTATGGCAAGAACCAGAGATTTTTGATTAATTTTGCACATAAAATAAAATAATGTTTCTTGTTGATTAATTTATTCTAGAAAATAAATTATTATTATATTTATAAGTGGATTATCAAAATTTTAATAATCTGTATAACCCAAGTATTTGTAAAATGTGTTTGTTTGATGTTTTAATGTTCCAAAATTAGTATGTTGTCATGTATGCTACTTGTTATAATATATATATTAAATATATATAAGGGCGCGTTCTCGGATTCTGCAGTTTTGACCTAAAACAAAAATATTGAAATATTTTTTTGAAGTGAAAACGAACATCAAACAAAAGAATGTATTTTTGTTTTGAGATGAGTAAAAACCATCCAACTCGCGGCACTGTTACCGTTACCGACACCTCTGTATATACTGAAATGAAAACTTCTTTAGGCGAATTGGTCATTTTTTGAGATGGGAAAAAACAATTGCACTCGGGACACTGTTACCGTTACCGACCCCTCTCTATTTACAGAGGTGGAGCGAGTGCCACTGGTTTTTTATTTTTATTTTACTTTTTTTTGTCAAATCTGCTAAATCTGAGCTCGTATCCTTAAACTTTCGTTAGGATAGTTAAGTGAAGTTTATATGAACCATGCCTATCGTAGAAACACTAAAATGTTATTGCGATTTGTAGTCGCAATATACATATCAAGCCTTAGTTTCAAATGCCTTAGTTCTAAATCGTAAATTAAGTTTTGTTCTAAAAAAGTTTATGAAAAATTTTAACGATTTGTTTTATGATAAAAAAAAATCAAGAGTTTGTTATATTAAATGTTAACATATCATGTTCTGACGGAAATATGTCTATTTATGTGTGTGGTTTTTTTTTTGTTATTACTTAATCGGGGGCGATTTAGACCAGCTGGAGGAGTCCTGTGCTCACTACAAAGAAGTAACGTTATTTATATGGTCCTATACACTATCCAAACCCACGACCTCCGTCCCAGGGTCACTAACCACTGGACCAACAAGCCCGTCAATATAACAATAAATAATAATATCTTGTCTAAAATATACTCATTAGCATCAGATATCGGGCAAGCGATAAGCTTCTGCAGTCATTACCAGAAGGCTTTTGGTCACGATTCGATTCCGATCGACTTTCGATCTCACAACTGTCTTAAAAGATGTTTTAAGCCAGAGACCGTGGGTGTGTCTACCATCCAGGAGTAACAATTGTGTCATGAGCTCGATTATTTTGTTGCCAGGATAAAATGTATGTATGAAATGTATGCATTCAACAATTCAAGTAAAGAGCGTCCGTCTCCAAGGCCAGTCCACTGCTGGACATAGGCCTCTCCTTAGAAAGGAGGTTTTGTCCTACTATTATACGACTGGCCAGACGGGTCGAAATAGGGTTTGTTTCAAATATTCCTTCTCTTTGCAGTGTTGTTGTCCTGCGTAGTTTGTTCTTGTAGCTGGCTTTTATGACACCCACGGGATGAATAGGGGTGTAGACATTCCTTATTCTTAATCCGTCACCACACAGATAGGCCAGTTTCGCACTTGTAATTCCTGTGTCGCAAGTGTCCGTGGTGGCCGCAACCTATCTGCTCACTTTCCCCTATTTCAGGCTCTGCCTAGTTTAGTACCAGATGGCCCAATCTGAGATGTGTCAACTTATTTTTACTTCGGACTGTTACCAATGCGATATAGCAAATCTTAGGTTTTACTGGTTATTCTTAAAATTAACCACAATCGGCGGGTTTACAGTAACATATAAAGCTGTACCCTGCTGCTGTTTACTTTGCTGTTTTATTTTGTGGTTGCACTGATGAGAAAACAGGAACGAATCTGACATGAAAAATAGATAAAAACCATATTCGAAGCGGGTTGTATATCGTGTCTAAATTTGATCTTAATCAGATATTACGTACACGTCATACCAACTAAACAGTTATATACAGGGTGTAAGGGACATCGTAACGAATACTGAAATAGTGTATTCAGACCATGATTCAGAGTCGAAAATCATTGCAATTTTCTGCCGAAAAAATATTTTTTTTCTTTTATAAGTTTCCATTTTTTTTGCTTAAAAATAATATATCAATGAGTAAACAGAACATTTCACCGAAAACAAATTAATAAATACCGCATCCGGTCAAAAACTACAATGAAATTAATCAAACAGTCGAAGCGCGCGGGGCCTTCCCTCCGGCCAACTTGTGTTAGTGTGCGTAGACTATTTGATCGAAATACACATGTAGTTATTACTTTTATGCGATACCTGCGGTGAATGACCTTTACCTTTGACAGCTGGTTGCATAAAAAGTTTAATTTTTGGTCAGAAAATTCCGATGATTTTAGACTCAGAATGATGGTCTGAATACACTATTTCAGTATTCGTTACGATGTCCCTTACACCGTGTATACACGGTGTGTATAAATATAGATTTTGAATATAATGCTATAAAATTGGTGTTCTCGGCTATGCATTATAAAGATTTAAATCTGTTTAGTTAAAGTAACGGTAAAGGTTATATATGGGATAGTGAACTTAATGTCTGAATGTTAAGTATTAGCATGTTTTGGGTATTGCGTATAAAAACTATGTATTTGGATATAAAGGGTATTTATCGTATAAATGTTGTATCGGATTGGATTTTTATTAGACTTATAGAATGTTCTATGTAGATATATTATATGATGTTTGTGTGACATT